TCTGTCTTGTGTTCTGCCTTCATCCTAACTATGATCTTTAGGCCACCTTACAAACAGTCTATAGTCATGGTTCTGTAATTCTGTTGTAATCAGTGGAAGTTAAATGAGTTTCATGGGTTTTTTTTTCCTTCCCATTTTTATTCTCATCTACAGATGAAGCATTTTTTGACTCTGACAATGATCCAGAGAAGTGCTGCTTACTGCTGCAGTTCATTTTGAACTGTTTATATAAGATCTTCCTTTTTGATACGCAACATTTCATAAGTAAGGAGAGAGCAGAAGCCTTGATGATGCCATTGGTGGACCAGGTAACCCAGTGTCCAGGCTGCATGGGCTGTGCAGCTGCTGAAATGACAGTGCCAGGCTTTCTCTTTGGGGAGGGAGGTGCTATTTCAAAGCAGATATATGGATAATACTTCACTGTAGCTTTTTTTTTTATAATTTGCCTTTTGAATTTGTTTTAAGCAGACATTACAAAAGGCTTTATGGGTCATTAATTTTTAAAAGAGCTTTTTTAAAAATAGCTTCACTGAGAATGTTTGTCTACTGGGCAGCAAGGAGTAATGCCAAAGGAAAGCAATGCATCTACTATAGAAAATATTAGAGTAGGACCTAGGTTTGAACCTGCTTATTATGAAGGATGGTGGAATGTTATGTGTTGTGTATTTCTTCAAACAAAAGCAAGACTGAGACATGTTTCTTTGTCCTTTTTTGCTCTACATAGCTGGGAAACAGGCTTGGAGGAGATGAGAAGTTCCAGGAACGGGTGACAAAGCACCTGATACCCTGCATTGCACAGTTTTCAGTGGCCATGGCAGATGATTCTCTGTGGAAACCACTCAACTACCAGATTCTGCTAAAGACAAGAGACTCATCAGCCAAGGTTAGGAACCATACAGGGCGAGCATGGGGTTGCCCTGGCAGCCTCCAGGTGGTCATGGATGTAGCCTGGTAAACTGGCAAGGAAGAGCTTACCATGTTAGGTAGAAATTTGAGCCTCAGAAATGCTTGGATTTCCCATGTGGATCCTATTAAATAACAGCAGAATCCCCCCCTCTCCCTCCACCCAGTAGAGTATTATATAGTACTTAAAGTACTCAAGTATTGGGATAGCAGTGAGGTCTCCAGTGGGATGCCCCCAGGGTATACATGTACAGGTTTCCTCTTGCTTTTCTGCTGATGCACCTGCTGATGCTGCAAGTGATGGGGTTCCTGACTCCCAGCTTTAGCTGTCAGCTACTGTGGGCATCTGGACAGTGAATGAGGAGATGGGAACTATGTCTCTAATTTAAAAATTTTTAACTGCTTAAATATTTATTAGCAAAGACTTGAATTTCTGTGTTTTCAGCATGTTATTTCAATGTCATTGTGAGATGAATGCTTTTAGTTTGCCCACAGAACAGGTTTGAGTCAGAGTAGCATACTTATATTATGTATGTAGCAAGTAGGTTTAAGATTTTATTGACCAAGTGATAGCAGTAGAAACAAAATGATGTAGGTGGATTGAGTAGGACTTAACATTCCATAGTTGAAAGTCAACATATTGAGAATTGCCGTTTCTCAAAATGACTATCATATTGGAACTTCACCGAATAAAACACCAAAATAGAATTTTGTTAATAGGATTTATTAGTTCACATTTATAGTATTTATTAGAAAATTAGAACATTGGTGCTATTTTGATGAACAGTCCCCACGTTCATTTTAAATCAGGGGTTTCTACACAATTTTCAGAATCATGTTTAACATTTGAGTTACAAAAACAAGACAAAGTTGACTGAATATAGGTAGTACAGGATCCACATATTTAAATTATCTAAAAGTAGAAAGAGGGGGTGGTAGGGCTTCTGTTTCAAAGGGAATTGCTAACAGCACCTCAGTTCCCAAACTAGCACATGACACAGAGTGGCTGGTTTTCAGTGAGTGCTGAGATGGGAGCTAACCCCAGGGATTCCCTGACCCTTCAGATGACTCTGTATTTAAATTTGAATGGACTCAAAGAAGTGAAATAGCATTTAGTTTAAAAAGTTAAAGACTGTCTCAAGTTAGTATAGTTCTTAAGATAAATATAGCAGTAAATAAAAACTACTACTACTTTTAGGTATTGTTTTTCCCTTTCCAGGTTCGATTTGCTGCTTTGTTAACTGTGTTAGCACTGGCTGAAAAACTGAAGGAGAATTATATTGTCTTGCTACCTGAATCCATTCCTTTCCTAGCAGAATTGATGGAAGGTAATTCCTAAGTTATTAGAAAATAATCACAGTTCTAGGATTGTGTGCCCAGTGAGCATGCAGCTCTGGATTACGTGGTTAGCACTTAGGGGGTAGTCCTCCGACCCCTGTAGTATCACATTTGAGCAAGCTAATTGCTGTTTCGAGTGTGGTAGAAGGACCAGGTTAGGAGGTGATCCTGTGATCACTGCTGCTCTGTTTCTGATGTAATCTTTACTCTTTTTACCTTTATGGATTTTTAAAAATTATCATAGAGACTACACTATTGCCTTTAGTTAGTCTCGTACATTGATGTGACTGAATAATGTACAGATGTGTTAGTATATTAGTGTTCACTTTGTAAGTATTAAATTTTGGTTGAGTGAATCAGGGACAGCTGAGGCAGGATGATTGCTTGGCGCAGATTTTAATTGTTTTTTTTTTCTTGTTTAGATGAATGTGAAGAAGTAGAACACCAGTGCCAAAAGACAATTCAGCAGCTTGAAGTCATTGTGGGAGAGCCACTCCAGGGCTACTTCTAAGGCTTTTTTTGGTATTACATACTCTGTTCAGAGTTCAGATTTTTCATATTTTTATTTTGGGGTGTTTGGTGCCATATTACTTTTGGTGCTTTAACACCAACTTGGACTTCTTAATAAATATTTAATGATTTCTTTATAAAATTGCTTCCTGGTTTGTGTACACAGAACCTTCTACCAGAGGTATGTAGTTATAAAAGTGTAAATAATACATGTTTTCACACAGATAGTTGTGTGTGTGTACAAACACTTATAGTCTTTCTGGTGTTACTAACATGTTTAATACCCAAAGCTATTTGGACTGCACAGCCATAACTCTTCTTTATAGCAGAGCTTTAATGCGGTATTCATGTTGGAGATTTCATTCAGAGAAACTTTACTTCAAAAACATGGTAATTACTCAGCATTCAACAAGAATAGTTTCAGCTGAAGCCATCCAGTCTTTTTCATTCTGTCATTTCTAATGACACTTTAGCCTTAATTTATATGTGTGTCATTAAGAGGCACTTCTGGGGTACATTTTTTAGCCAAGGCATGTCTCCTTCCTTTATCCTTTCATCCTGCAGGGAGGAAGCTAATATCACTGCTTATATAAGAACCTGATTCTGGGGAGTCACTCAAACAGAAAGGGCCCTAAGACACTAAGTGGCATGAGGGAGACCATCCAGCAATTCAGTGGTTAGTTGTATGAGAAAGTGAATTTCAGTACATTTTTCTCCTAATGCTTTGAAAATCTAGTATCTATATGTCTACTACTATTGTGGTAAAGGTGAGAACTCATAATTAAATCTGCTTTTACTTTTCAAGGCATCTAAGAACTAACCCAGAGTATGTTCACATCAAGTTTTAGTGCTTTTGATCTAATTTAACATAGAAGTCTAATGCAGAATTGAATCTGTAGGAAAGCATATTTCTTTTAAAGTTGCATCTCAGTAAAAGCAGATCATCAGTAAAGACCAATAGCTTTTTAAGAAAAATCTTAAGATTGTGCATTTATTCTATCAAAGAATCAGTACTGACAACAGCTCCCTGTGAAACAAAGATGAAAATGACCTTTTTGAAGACTTAGAGGAGGGGCTGACAGGTTACAGTTCAAGCTGTTGCCTGCCTTGCCAGCAGCCATGTCAGAATACAGGTTTGAGTCACAGCTACTCTGCTTCCAATCCAGGAAGCTCCCTGCTAATCACCTGGGAAAGCAGCATGGCAGGTGCCTGGAAGATGAGGATGGAGTTCTAAGCTCCTGGCTTCAGCCTAGCAGACTCCCAACTGTCACACCCATTTGAAGGGCAAACCAGTGGATGGAAGACTTATTTCTCTCTGTATGTCACTCTACCTTTCAAATAAAGTGGGGTTTTTTTTAAAAAGTGCTTCAGTATATGGATTTTAAAAATGTTTTGTACCCGAACTACCTTATCTTTTAATTCCATTTTCTATGAACTCTTTGAGGTCCCTTAAACAATCTTCACCATCTCAGTCAAGCATTCTGATGTTCTTTATGAAGAAAAATAATCCTGGGGAGTTGTAGGTTTCCTATCCTGTACCCTGGGTGTCCCCACCCGGTGCTTTTCAAGGTTGGCAGGACACTACCTAATATGATAACACAGAAAACTGGAAAAGTCATAAGGGCTCGCAGTTTCTTAGCTAATTATTTTTTTAAAAGACATATTTATATATGGATAGTAGTACTCTTTTTTAATGTGTGGGTTCAAATAACATTTACCCAACATGTGCTAAGAAAATATTCTTTAATCCTGGCAGAATTCTTACGATAAAATAAAGGATTCAGCTTTTTCCTACTGTCAAATCTTTAAAAGCTTCAACAAGATCTGACCTGTGAAGATTCTACATAGAACTTTTGCCAGCTCCCTTCAAATTATAGAAAAATTAACAGAAATGCAACACTTTAACTTGCTGTTACAGGCTTGATTCTGATCACTTGAAGCAGAGCAGTGTTTTGATCTCCATTCCTAATGATGATGGACTAATCCTTACAAGAGCAGAAGCATGTGTTGCTTTGCATGCAGGCAAGGCATGTTTATGTCACTGTTCCACTGGTTTATGTATTTTACTTTCTGATAGGGTCTATTCTATAAATTCTTAAGTCTAGTCTTCATTTCCACAAATATTCTACAGATAATTCATCTAGCTTAAGCTTTATACTTCTTATAGGAGTACTGGCAAAGCTAACTTGCAGAGGTCTAATCTGTAACATCAGAACCCTCTTTATTTCATTTTATTTTTTATTTTTTGCTTTTTGTGCTGCATTCAGGATTTGGGAAAGCTGATAGAGCTAGAAATGTTTATTATGCTGATATATATAACTCTGCTCTGAGCAATCAATGCCTGCAGTAAAACAGCACACTGAGCAAACTGAGCAGCTGAGCAGAAGCTTGACCAGGGAACAGGCTGGTTTGGATACCACTATGTATGGACCCCAGCGCCCGGCAGAGTGCTAATAAAAACAGTATGCTAGCTGCTTTGCATTGATAGTAGGCACTTAATAAATATTTGCTGATTGCAGATTTTAAGAGAACGCTGAGAGGAGTTGTGGGGGACAAAGTAGGATGTCTTTTCTGGCTATAATTCTGTCACCTTGAATTTCCTTACTTTAGTGCTAGGTACAGCCACATCACATGGCAAAGACTAATAATAGCCAGCAGGATTTAATGCTATGCAAGCTCACTTTAACAATATAAACCATATAGTGACAGTGAGATGCATTTTGACAAGCCAGTATCACACAAGCCATTTTGTATTTGAGGATTTTTTTTTAACAGTCATGTTTGCTACCAGCTCCTTACTTCCAGTAAGTGGATATCTCCATCAACTTCCAGTGTGTCGATACTGCTAAGCTCTTTAAATCTGTGTTTGTACTCCAGGCTGTGCACACCATTTATGGCAACCTTGAACTCTCTAACATCACAATAAATTATCATCTGTAAAGAAAGGAAACATAGTATTAGTGGGTTTTCCTTAAAATGTTGGTTAACTGCACAGTGTTCTCCAGCCTACTGCTGTGACCTTTTGTGGTATTAAGACCCCAATCTAACCTAAGGCTAATTCCTGATACTGGCACCTTTGGGCTGCTTGACATCGTACTGACCCCCTTTTTCTTCTCCCATCCCTTCTCTGTCCTTCACTCCAAGGGAACTGGATACTTGCCCCTCCTCACCCATGCTCGGGAATCCCAGTGAAGTAAGAAAATTTCTCATAAATTGATCTGTTTATGGAGATGCTGATTCTGAACAGCATGTTGCACAGGAACCAAGAGGCCTGGATCCTGATTGTGCCTCAAAGAAGGGCCTTGGACCAGTCAGACAAGAAGTTTTAGAAGCTTACAGCTCTTACTAGGGATTGCACACTGCTTGATAATCCAGACCCGTGCTGTATCAGTACATCCTAATCTCAGTCTTTGTTCAGAGCTCTTTGTACCACTGTGCTGCTACTGCAGTAATTTGTATTCTGGCAGACTTGATTAACACATCTCCTGTGTTAACCCTCCAGTTACCTGCCTGACACTCAAAACAACGAAAAACCTGAAACTCACTGCTCTATTTCAAAGCTTTGGACTGACTTTCAGCTAAGGTTTTTGTTTGTTTTGTTTTTTAAGATTTATTTGTTTGTTTTTATTGGTAAGGCAGATATACAGAGGGGACAGAAAGATCTTCCATCCGATAGTTCACTCCCCAAGCGGCCACAATGGCTGCAGCTGAGCTAATCCAAAGCCAGGAGCCAGGAGCTTCTTGGTTTCCCATGCAGGTATAGGGTCCCAAGGCTTTGAGCTATCCTCAATTGCTTTCCCAGGCCACAGGCAGGAAGCTGCATGGGAAGCAGGGCTGCTGGGATTAGAATCGGCACCCATATGGGATCCCAGCACGTGCAAGGCGAGGACAGAGCCAGGCACAATGGCTCAGTGGCTAAATTTTCATGTTGCAAGTGCCAGAATCCCATATAGGCACTGATTATTCGTGTCCCAACTGTTCCACTTCCCATCCATCTCCCTACTTACGGCCTGGGAAAACAGTTGAAGATGACCCAAAGCCTTAGGACCCTGCACCTGCATTCCCATGGAAGAAGTTTCTGCACTCCACCTACCAGCGCATGGGATTACTAATACAGGGCTAACTCATTTTCAGTATAACAAATGTCAATTCCAAAACAAATAATGTAATGTTCTTCGGATTTTGCTCTTTATACCAACAGCCTAAGTTATGGAAGTGGCCACTCTAATTACAGACTCCAAATGAACAAAAAAACAACACAATGTCCCCCTAAGATAGGATTTGATTTAAATGGATCCTTCATCCTAACCTCTACCCTCAAGATTCTTTATCCTGGCCCATTTGCAAAAAATACAGTCTTACCTCAAAGTACATCCCAGGACTAAATGGAAAACAAGTAATGCTTCTCTCTTCTTCCCCCCAGGCATCTTGAAGAAAAGAATTTCGTACAAATGCTTTGGTATTCAGTCGTGGGTTCAAGTGTAGAGCAATATCCTTCGATTTTCCTGATAGCAGGTCAACATTAAAGCTTTTAACAGGAAAAAAGAGCATTAGCCACAGTGGCAAGGACAGTGTCAGTTTCTGCCACTTTAATCATCAGACTTGAGCTACTATTGTAACCACATGAAGCATGTATGCATATGGGTCTCGGCGTTCTCCCTGAATCCCTTCCACACCTTCTTTCTTCCTGAAAGTACACTACTTCCTGGGAAACAGCTCTAACTTCCGGTTTTCAGAAGCCTGGACTTCTCTAGAGAATTGTCTTAAAGTATAGATGTCCCATGAAAAGACAGGCTCTAAAAAACTGCCTGATCCCCTGAGGCTGCCCTGGAGCTTAAAAGGCCACGGTTGGCCTTGAGGACAAAACTGTCCGGCTCATGTAGGCAGGGGTCAGAACCCCAGAATGCAATTCTGGTTCTGTCACCAGCTGCTTGTCAGCCGTTGAACCTCTTCTAGCTTCGGTACTGTCACCTTTCAAATTAGGGTTTCCACACTGGAATTCTATCTCCCAGAACCATTAGGGACTAGCAGGCATTGAAAGGCACACGTGGAACATACTGCCATTGATATTAGTGACTGCAATGATACCAACCCTTTGGCATTTGTATTCACTTCTCCTTTGATGACGACAGTTCGCCCAGGGCCCATGGAGGAATTCAACCTTGCAACAAATGGCAGGCTCTAAAAAGAAGTCACAGTCAGAACTCAGAAGCTGCAGAGAGGATGTCACAGGAAAATGATCCAAAGAATACCAGGGAATGTTTCAGAGTTTAGAACCCCACTATGGCACAGGCTAAGCTTGCTTTGACCCCAGCTGGATCAGTAAGTAGCATTGTGCCTGTCAATGCAAGCTCTCAATGTCTGCACCTTAGACAAGGAACGGAGCAGCCACGCAATGCCAACAGATGTCTTCTGTCCTGTTGCACTCACCCTGAGAGCGCCACACACATCAGGGTCTGATGTAGTGCTCCAAGCAGGGGAAGTCAAGCTAGGAGCAGGTCCACTACAGGCACCTGGCCCAGAGACACACCTGGGTAACTTTTGTGTCTGTCCAGGGCCAGATTCCAAAGGCAGAATGGACAGGCCCGATGTGTTGAATCCTCCCTTTGCAAACGCCAGGATCCCATACAGGTGCCAGTTTGTGTCCTGGCTGCTCCACTTCCCATCCAGCTCCCTGCTTGTGGCCTGGGAAAGCAGTGGAACATGGCCCAAAGCACCTGCCTTCTGGCTTTGAATGGGTTCAGTTCCAGCCGTTATGGCCACTTGGGGCATGAACCAGCAGATAGAAGATTTTTCTGTCTCTCCTCTGTGTAGATCTGCCTTTCCATTAAAAATAAATAAATAAAAAATGTGGAGTTCATGAGGTCAGTGCTATGGTGTAGTAAGTTATGCCTCCACCTGTGGCACTGACATCTTATGTGGGTGTCAATCTGAGTGCATCCTGGCTTCTCCACTTCTGATCCATTACCACTAATGTGGCTGGGATAGCAGCAGAAGATGGCCCAAGTGCTTGGGCCCTTGCACCCACATTGGGGACCCAGAATAAGCTCCTGACTGTCCCAGCTCTGGTCATTATAGCCATTTGAGGAGTGAATTAGTGGATGGATGATAGCTCTCTCATTCTCTCTCTTTGTAACTCTGCCTTTCAACTAAAAATATATAAATCTTTCAAAAAAAGAAAAATGACAAAAACCAGGCCCAGCATGATGGTGTAGTGGTTAAGGTCCTTGCCTTGCATGTCCGGGATCCCATATGGGCACTGGTTCTAATCCCGGCGGCCCTGCTTCCCTTCCAGCTCCCTGCCTGTGGCCTGGGAAAGCAGTCGAGGACGGCCCAAAGCTTTGGGACCTTGCACCTGCATGGGAGACCCGGAAGAGGCTCCTGGCTTCGGATTGGCTCAACTCCAGCCATTGTGGCCGCTTGGGGAATGAATCATCGGATGGAAGATCTTCCTCTCTGTCTCTCCTCTCTATCTGCCTTTCCAATAAAAATAAAATAAATCTTTAAAAAAAAAAGCCAAGCAGCTGCTTTGGGTTACTATTAGGGGTAGGGAAAATACTTAACAGTTAACTAAGACTTAATTTTTATAGAGTTAAGAAAATGTTTGGCTCTTCAAACCTTTGAGAAATAGTTGATAGGTAGTATTTTTGTACGAGTGTGATTCACAGTCGAATCTTTGTTCTTGGTGTAGGCAGTTCTGGGTACAACTTTAGAAATATCTCCTCTATTACTAGGCTGTAGGGAAACAGTTCTACAATAAGGAATGGAGTGAAGGAAGCAGTCTTTCAAAAGTTCATCTATTCAATATTTAGGCAGTTTTATAAAACATCCCTCAGTAATAAATCAGGAAAACTACTTACAAACTGTGGCATGCCAGATTTTTGTACCTAAGGGAAGAGAAGGAAGAAATGAAAACACAGGAAAGAAGAGCAGTACACTTTACGACATGAGCAGTCTGCCGCTCAGGCCTGCCCCCGCTGCAGGGACGTCCAGGCAGCCAGCCCTGCAGGACCCTGGGCTGCGGAGCTGTACGGGGCAGCTTGGCCCGGGAATGAGCTCTAACAGCCCTTTTCATCTGAGTCATTTCGCCTCCACCATAAATCAGCCACTTTTCACAGCTTCAAACACGTTGTATTTGCCCTTTCCCAGGTAACCCTCAAAAGATGATATTCTTCATCTATGACGTATGAATATTCTGAGATTGGTAAGAACTCACTTCTCCATTAATAATAGCATAGATGTAATTTTTAAATCACTCTGTTCCCACAGAAAAAGTAGATAGACGTGGTGATTCATTTGCTAATTCACTGGCTGGTATATATTTATAAATAGCTTATGAATGCATTAATCAATGCTTGAATGTCAGACACAGTTCATGTTCCATGAAAATGGTGGGTAGTTACCACACAAGCTGGGAAACTACACAGAAGCCAAAATTTAGAATGCCTGTCCTCATATGAAATATATACCTCAATCTTCAAGTAATTACTTCCATCTTAGCCTCATAGCAAACGTAAAATTTGAGGGGACCAACATTGGCCAAGCAGTTAAGACGGTACTTGGGGTGCCCAAAACCCAAAGGGCCAGGATTTGAGCCTGGCTCCGCTCTTGATCTCTTGATTCTAGCTTCCTGCTGGTGTGCCTGAAGGAGCAGCAAGTGACAGCTCAACTAGTTAAGACCCTGGCAGCCACATAAAAGACCTGGATTGAGTTCCTGGTTACTAACTCTGGTCTGACCCATCCCAAGCTGCTGCAGATATTTGTGGGGTGGGCCATACAGGCGAGCTCTCTGCCTCTCTCTGCCTTTCAAACAAATCAAACAATTTGTTCTAATTTTAAATAAAATCAAATATTAATATGAAAAAAAGGCAGCCTTTCTGCCATTTGAAGTACGTGACAACTAAAAGAAGATTTCTATAAAGGTCGTTAAGAGATTTAATATTTACATTTTCTCTACTTATCGCTGTCAGTTCCAGAGTGGATGCTTGGATACTTTGCAAATCCTGAAGAAAAGATAATTTTTAACATCCATCAGAAAATCTTTCCTAATTTGACCTCAACATATTAGAAAGTTACTAATAGTTCTAAAGATGAAAATAGGCTTGACAACTGTGATCCAAAACAGCTTTTAACACTATGATCCTTTTCTTGCCCCTATCGAGTTGGCAGACGTTAGAACCAGATCAGATGTCAACAAGAATGTGAGCAGATGGTGCAGGCTTGGAGAATACCAATTCTTTCATCTTTTTGGATGCTATATTACAAGTAGCTATCAAAACTTAAAAGGCAAGTATTCGCTGACTCAGATATTCCACCTCTGAGACAGGGCCTTACAGAAAACACTGTATGTCAAGAAAATGCCCCATCTAGCTGGAAGGATGTTTGTGCAAAGTACGCAAATTGGAGCTCATAAAGCTCAGCTCAATAAAAACATCCCACTACTCTGAAAAGGTCACTTCCAAGAAAATACTACTTTAATGAAAAGCATTTATATTACTGTGTTATTTATATATGTTATGCTGATTTAGTATTAATGAATTAATAGTATTTTGTGTGTTTTTTTATAATATAGAATATTTAATTTCTTCCATTTTGTCAGGAAATATCACACAAAAATCACCTGGGCAGGCATTTAGCATATGGTTGACACCAGTTAGAAGTGTATGTCCCATAGCAGAGGCCCTGGGCTCAACCCCAGCTCGGTTCCTCACTCCAGCTCCCTGTCAGTAAACATCCCTGGAAAGCTCAACGCTGGGTTCCTGCTACCCTGTGACACACTCAGAGTTCCCGGCTCCATGGCTTTGGCTCAGAGCTAGCCGTGGTGGGCACCTGGAGGGTGAAATAGCTAGCCATGGGAGGCACCTGGACAGCGGAATAGCAGAGAGGAGCTTGTGTGCTCTACCTCTCAAATTCACAACAGAAAGATCCCCAGGTTAAGAAAAGGCACTCACCGAGCTGAAGCTAAAACCAACTGAGTGAATATTCACTTTGCCATAAATGCCCAGAGTGTCTATTTTCTCTAGACTTATCCTGTGGGCGTAGAGCAGGATATGTTTTCCATTCACAGCCACCTAGATGCACATAGAAGACACGCCCCCAACAAAAAAAAAGTTAATAAATTAACTTCTTATCCAAATGTCAATGTTCCCTTGAGTTTAGCTTTATACCTTTTCCCATGATTTTAAATATTTATCCAGTGTTCAAAAACAGCCCCAACAGCAGCAGCATTCCTTAATTCCTTTTGTATTGATCTGACTAGAGATGCAAATCAGCCTTCCCCAGCAGACATGAGCATTTGGGAATATATGTACATAGCCACATGTTCACCCACAGCTAGGCGGAGGCCTGTCTCCAGGGCGAGAGGCCCGTCAGGAGCCCTGAGGTCCTGCCAGCTCTCCAGTGTCCTGGAGGACCACACTCCAGGACAGTCACCTACGTGGTCGATACTCAACAAATATCCACTAGACTGGCTAAATGGATGAGAACACCTGCAAGTTATCCGGCCTGAGTTTCGGCTTTCTTATCTGTAGAAAGGAACAGGCTCTACCTCAGAGGCAACAATGAGAAGGAGACGACCAAGAGGCTTCTGCCAGTCCTGCTAGACTCAGTGAATGCCCTGCTCTCCCTCGCCAGTGTCAGGTGCCAGGGTAAGTTATGTGCAGAAAGCACAGCAGCAGACAAAAGGTCTCTGACGTAGGAGCTAAAAATCCCATCAGCAAACAAAAACATAGTAAGTAAAACCAGCACATACGCTGTTAAAAAGCATGATATGGGCACAACTGCTCAACAGCCCACAGACTGCCGAGGGGAATGGCACTGAGGAGATTTGGGGGACATTTTCCAGGGGAGCCAGTGTCCTTGGGGCCAGAGGGATCTGCAGCAGGCACGCAAAACTTGGCTGGAATCAGTGCAAAATCTCCAGCCTGGGAAAACTCCGTATGCTTGAGGGCTGGCAGGTGTCAGAGCCTCAAGCATCAATTTCTGCCTCGCATATATATGCTAGGTACAGAAAACATTCCAAAGAGCCAGGAACAGAACTTTCTACAAAAATTATTTCTAAGATTTCCTCTGGATTTCAGAACTATCTGGGACCAAGATCTAATTTTACCAAACCCTTTTGGTTCCATCTGTCTGTTAGTTCCAGATTCTCCCACAATTTGAGTGGTGGTCATTGCAATTTACTCTCTCACAAGAACATGTTGCTATACCAATGCTGTATTCAGCCTTGCAAGGAGAAATATCATCCAATAAAAAGATCTGACCACACCAGGTCTCTTTTATCACATGACAATGGTTGCTTAGAGAGCTGCACCCTATATCTCATGGTTAGGTCTGGTCCCACTTTCAAGAAAAATCACAAAGCTACTCTAGATCTCAGATTATGAAGGTGGAAGGCCCGGTGTGGTAGCCTAGCAGCTAAAGTCCTTGCCTTGCACACACCAGAATCTCATATGGGGAGCCAGTTCATGTCTCAGCAGCCTTGCTTCCCATCCAGCTCCCTGCCTGTGGCCTGGGAAAGCAGTCAAGGACGGTCCAAAGCCCTGGGACCCTGCACCCATGTGGGAGACCCAGAAGAAGCTCCTGGTTCCTGGCTTCAGATCAGCACAGCTCCAGCCACCGTGGCCATTTGGGGAGTGAATCAACAGACAGAAGATCTTTCTCTCCTTCTCTCTGTATATCTCACTTTCTAATAAAATAAATAAATAAATAAATAAATCTTTAAAAAAAAAAAAAAAGGAAGAAGAAGAAAAAACAATTACGTGCCCATTCCCACCAATGAGGATTTAACTTGTCCTTCCCCATAGACTGACCTGGAATTTTTCCTTCAGCACCATAATCACAATTTCAAAAGATTTTTCTTTCTTGAAGGGCATGTCATAGGTGATCTCTTCCCATCCCCATTTTTCATTCATCAGTGTGTTGCACACAATGCAGTTGGTTCTTTTGAAACGAGGGTTGAAATGGAAGGCCACGTCGGCTCGAGGATCCACGCTGCTGCCACACTGCAGATCCACCTGGAATCTATGTGGGGAAAGGGGGTCATGTGGACTCTCAGAAAGGAAGTCCAGCAACATGTGGCTCCCTCCTCACTCGTTCGTCCCTCAAGGGCCAGCTGCCTCCTCTTCCCTTCACCTTCCTTAGTAACAGCCTCTGTGTCTCAAGCAGGTCCCTACCAGCCACCAGAACAAGAATTCATCTCTCCCATCCATTTGTGCAGTCAGGGATGCCTTTGTGGGTGAAGTGCTCCCAATATGTTCAGGGAAAGACACTGGAAAGTTTCTTAAAAGTCAGGAGGCATCTGCCTTATGTCCACCCTGACTTCTCTCCAATGTCACCTGCAGCCACACAGCTACCCAGAGCATAGCAGGAGCCCTGATGCCAAGGGTCAAGAGCAGAGGGCCTGGAGGAGGCGCACTCCTCCAACGAGATGGAGCAGACCAAAAAGGTCTGGCCCGTCTCCATAAGACTTGATCTTCTCATCTCATTTGAACCAATGTTGCTTGGATGTCAACCATAGAGAACTGATCCCAACTCTAGCAGATACATGCCAGTCCAGAGTTTGTACCAAAAGAAAAATGTTCAGTATAACCATCCACACTAGCGCTTATGAGATACTGTGGGGAAGGCTTGACTGTATGAGGCCATCCCTGTCATCTGACCACAATTCAGATATGGCAAACAGGAGAGAAAAATCAAAGATTCCAATAACGTTTCTGTAGCCATTCAATCCTTCTCAGCACCCTGGCCAGAACTGCTGATGACAGCAGAGGCTTCCCTTTCCCAGGGGCCCTCTCCCACATTTTATTATAGCTGTTCCCAAGTCACAGACAGTGCATTCCTGCTCTTTCATATAACAATGACTTTACCTGTCCACATCACTAGGAATGTGTCCACGTATCACAATCAAAGTTCCAGGTTCTAGATGCTCAGGAATGGTGCCAACATAGGGGATCATCTGGAGAAGAAAGATTAAACAAATGTACAATTGTACATATCCATAACCAAAAGTACTAAGTGATTAGAACCAAAATTCAGGAACCAATCAAAAACATCCACATTTTTAAAAGGCTGTATGTGAACCTACTCAGAGTCTCAACTTTTCCAAGACATTTTCACTACCTGAACAGCTACCAGCAAACAACATGTTAAGACATTTGCAGTAGCTGCAAACCACTCTGAGTTCTTTGAAAAAAATACAACCTGAAGGCGTTCTAAAATAAAGCATCCAACCAATACGGTAACTGACAGCAGAAAACCAATCCACTGGAGTGTCACGCCTCCTCATCATTCCTACCTTTCTGCTGAAGATGGAAGGCTCAGTACCTTGCAGGTCTAAAGCCAGTGCTGATGAAGATGATGGCAAACACTTGCAGCCTCTGAAAGAGGCTCTAAGTGAAGCCATCCTCTACTGTCACACTGGGATTCAAGAGCCTGATCTTCCCTACTGGGTTCCAGACCATATAAAATCCGCACTGTGACAGAGCAGCCTGATCTTAAAAGACAAGCCCTGGGCCTGCAGGTCTCTCAAGGCACGGCATCCACTCGGACCAGCCTTGGCCTGTTCCAGTCAGCAGCATCAGCACCAATACTAGGCTGTAGGCAGTATCCAGGCCTCAATTGTTTTGTATTGGGCCTGAGACGCTGCCAGATCTCATCACCCCCTTTCCCCAGAGCTGATTCCACCATCCTCCTCGTCCACCAGCTGAGGAATTGTGTTTTATGGCTGCATCTCAACCATCTCCCTCCGCTGTGGAGCCTCTGACCAGGATACACAACCAGACCTGATTTGTGCCTTACACCCAAGCTCACCCAAGTTATGACACAAGTGATAAAAACCAATCCTAGGCAGCTCTGATGACAGTAAGAAATAAAGCAAGAGATGGCTAATAAGCTGAAAAGCTTAGCTCAAACATTAGCTCCTTCAAGGAGAGTCTTCAGACTCCTTGTTCTGATGAGTCAGCTTTCTGTGTGGGACCAAGGGAGTACTTGAGATTCTGGTTATTTGCACACAGCTCTGTCTACAGTATGAGGTGCATGGGACAGAACCAGGTCACACCTTTACTTCATCAGAGTGGAGGTCAAGAGACCATCAGCGCACGGTGATTACAAGGTGAATGAGTGCACTCTGAGCAGCTTGGCACCTGGACTCTGGCCGGCATGACGCATGCAGGGGATCAGCAACCACGCAGCTGCTCAACAGCACCCGGGGCCCTTACGCAATGCCAGGAGACACCATCAAACCAATGATCCATTCAGAGTTCTGGCAACTGCTGAGAGCCCATCAGACCAGAAAACAAGAATCACATGATTACACACTCGCTGAGCCACACATCAGATGGCTGGTTTATGAAAACCACAGACAGAGACCTTCCGTCTGTTGGTTCTCCCCAAATGTCTGTGATAGTTACAGTCATGCCAGGCCAAAGCCAGGGGCACAGAACTCCAAAAGCCCAAGCAATTGGATCATCACCTGCTACCTCCTAGGTGTGGACTCACAGGAAGCCAGGCAAGAGCTGTAGCTGCCAGGATTTGAGCCATGCACTCCAACATGGCACGTGGGCATCCCAAGGGGCCACTTAACTGCTGTGCCAAACGCCTCCCTAAACTGATCCTTTGAGCCACAGCTACTTCTGAAAACAAGCAGAAGCCTCTTCCACAGGGAAAATCCCATAATAAAAGGAAAAGAGTTCCTTTTGACTTCAAATCTCATATATGATTAAGTTATTTTTAATTGACATTAGTGATGAAAAAAAATCAATGAAAAAGTAACCTACAAAAGTACATATAAGAACAGTATGATATTAGCCAAGTTAATAAAACAATAAATTAAAAAACAAAAACACAGTGAAGAAATAAACCAAAAGTAATATAATAGCTTGCACAGGATGGGATTGTCATTTCTTCATATATTTTTATACTTTCCAAGGATGTGCAATAAGTATTTATTATATCTTTATAACAAAAATGTTTTTAATTGTTGAAAATACTTTGAGACCAACCTACTATCGTTACTGTTCATAACTGTCGCCAACCAAAGAAATTAACAGGCTAATGATGTGGGCCATTTGCTATCTTAGTAGTCTGGGTTGATGTTATTTGGAAAAGCCTAAATTCTACCAGGAACACTCATCTTTTTTGGATCATGTTAGAGGGATAAAATGCCCTGCAACCTGCTCAGCTAATGGCTGCTTGCCACTATAAAGGGGGACAAGAGAGACATTCTTTTCTAGGCAGCTCCAAGCTAACGGCTTTAATATTTTACTAATAATTATTAAATTACATATAAAGTTAAAACACAATGCAGGGCCCGGCACGGTGGCACAGTGGTTAAGGTCCTCGCCTTGCATGCCCGGGATCCCACACGGGCGCCGGTTCTAATCCCGGCAGCCCCGCTTCCCTTCCAGCTCCCTGCCTGTGGCCCGGGAAAGCAGTCGAGGACGGCCCAAAGCTTTGGGACCCTGCACCCGCGTGGGAGACCCAGAAGAGGCTCCTGGCTTTGGATCGGCATAGCATCGGCCGTTGCACTCACCTGGGGAGTGAATCATCGGACGGAAGATCTTCCTCTCTGTCTCTCCTCTCTGTATATCTGCCTTTCCAATGAAAAAAAATAATAAAAATAAATCTTAAAAAAAAACCACAATGCAAGTATGATTACATTAGAGACAATATTGTAAGGTTAAGCAATGGTCAGGGTTGGTGTTACTTGTCAAATTTCTATTTCACAGTGCTTTGCCTTTTTATTTTATTTTAATTTTTTTTTAAAGATTTATTTATTTTCCTTACAAAGTCAGATATACAGAGAGGAGGAGAGACAGAGAAGAAGATCTTCCGTCCGATGATTCACTCCCCAAGTGAGTGCAATGGCCCATCGATGCTATGCTGATCTGAAGCCAGAATCCAGGAACTTCTTCTGGGTATCCCACATGGGTGCAGGGTCCCAAAACTCTGGGCCGTCCTCAACTGCTTTCCCAGGCCACAAGCAGGGAGCTGGATGGGAAGTGGAGCTGCTGGGATTAGAACCGGTGCCCACATGGGATCCTGACGCAAAAGCCGGGCCTGCTTTGCGTTTTTAACAATTGCTTGCTAAATGTCTACTGTATGCAAGGCTGTCAGGCAGACTGCAGCTGGAAAGAATCTGAGCGTCCTGGGGCAGACATCTGGTCTACAAGTTAGGCTGCCAGTGGGGTCTCATACATTCCTTATGCCAGGGTCAAGAGCCAGCTGCACTTCCAGTTCCAGATTCCTGTTAGTGAATAATCTGGGGCCAGCAGTGATGGCCACAGTGGTTGGGTCTCTGCCACCACATGGAGACCTGGACTGAGTTTCTGCCCCCTGGATGCAGAATGGCCCAGTCTAGGCTGCCACAGACATTTGGGAAGTGAACCAGCAGATAAGAAATGCATGGTTTCAAACCCCGGCTCCCATTCCTGACATGTTTCCAACTAATGTAAACTCTGGAGAGCTACAGTGATAACCCAAATAAATGGGCTCCTGAATTGAGTTCTGGTATTGGTGCCCTGGCCAGCACCAGCTCCGCCTTGGGTTCACAGACGTCAGACATTTGAGGAAGTGGACCAGCAGATGGGATATCATATTATCATTTTTTTCTCTTCCTCTCCCTCTCCCTATCTTCCTCTTTGCCTCTCAAATAAATATATCAATATGTTTTCAAACATAAAATCAGTTAGGTAGGGTCTGGCCCTGTGGTATAGCTAGTAAAGTCGCTGCCTGAAGCACTGGCATCCTGTATGGGTGCCAGTTCAAGTTCAGACCGATCCACTTCTGATCCAGCTCCCTGATAATGCACAGAGGATGGTCCAAAGACTGGGGTGCCCTGCAACCCACATGGGAGACCTAGAAGAAACTCCAACTCTGGTTTCCTGAACCAGCTCTGGCCACTGTGGCCATTTGGAGAATAAACCAGGAGCTAGAAGAGCTCTCTACACTTCTTTCTATCTCTCTCTGCAACTCTGCCTTTCAAATAAATAAATGATTTTTTTTACAGTACTTAGAAGCTGCTTGCTGCGGTTTCTCAAGTAGCCTTGCTCCCACACACACCCTTTCTCGGCGATCTGAGTACTTCGGTTTCTACTTTTCTAGTTCATACGAAAACACAGAGCAATAAAATCTCTCTAACTGCAGGAGTCCCTGACATTCTTTGGCGGTTCCTTTTCCATCACCGACAGCTCACTAGGGGAGAGGTCATGTCTGCTCTCCAACTTGTGACTCCTTTAATCCGTAATGTCTTTATATTTTAAGTTTATTTTGTTTTCTATCTTCTTTCATCAATACTTTTTTTAAGTATTTACTTATTTTTATTTTGGAAGGCAGATTTACAGTCAGAGAAGGACAAAGATCTTCCATCTACTAGTTCATTCCCCAAATGGACACAATGGTAGTAGCTGGGCTGGTCCAAAGCCAGGAGCCAGGAACTTCTGGGTCTCCCACATGGGTGCAAGTGTCCCAAGTACTTGTGCCATCCTCCACTGCTTTCCCAGGCCACAGGCAGGGAGTGGATGGAAAGTGGAGTGGCCGAGACTTGAACTAGATGACAGACCGCAGGTGACAGACCCAATTTCTTGCTTTTTACAAGAAAAATCTTTAACTTCTTTTGTAATTGCTTTGCTAGCACTGTAGATGTCTTTCAGCTCTCTTACTGTGAGCACAGCTTTGGCCGTCACCTGCCATGGCCCCTGAGCTCTCCTGGCTATCCTGCCAGCCCTTTAAGGCTGCAAACACAAGTCTAAAACGAGCACCTGCCTTTCCCAGGCAGCTCTGTACCTTGCTTGTCTGTCTTCCCCCCTTCCTTCTGCCCTTGAACTGTTAACCTCTGGTGCAACCACACAACAACAGCTTGAAGATGATTTGTCTTCACAATTAAAACTATGTTTTGTGAATACCAACTTTTTCTCTTTTTAATTCTTATTTAATAATCTAAAGATAATACGTACAAAT